GCTTCACCACCCTCTCTCTCAGGCTGGGTTAGGTACAGGAATCTCTCATTCTGGAAGGGGAGCATCTCTGGCATGTGTCTGTAGGGTTTTGTGGGGATAACAGTGATGAATCATCAGTTAATACCTGTCAAACCCAGGTAGTCACAAGAACCCTCCAATATGCCCTGTATCGACTCCCTTCTTGTTCCTCGGCATCTGAATCCCATTAACAGCTGTCAAAACCTGGTAAACTATTTATATGCTTTCACAATTTGTTTAATTGGATAGTTAGGAAATGGCATACAAGAAAAGCTTTCCTTTTTCCTTTTTTTTTTTTTTTTTTTTTCCTTTAGTCTGGCTGAACATCTGTAGCATTAGGGGCTCATTATCTCTGAATTGGCACAGCAAATCAGCAGCATCATTAAAATGCCACATTAAGATGATTAAGTTTCTTTGTTACCCAGTTGACTTTTTGCATGTGCTGAGGATTTCACGATTATGACCCCACTCCTTGTAAAACACTTGAGCTACATCACCCTTTCCTGCCGTTGTCTTTAATGGTTTCTGGGTTTTATTCCTTGTGCTTTTCCCATCGCTCCCGGTAAACTTTGCTTAACAACAGGACAAAACTTAGGTTTTCTCCTCTGTATTTGATGCCAGAATCTCAGATTAAATGGAGGATTTGGGGAGCTTTCCTTCTGAAACTTCCAGAGAAAACAGAATTCAGAAACCCTCCAACTTGCCCTAAGTATTTGTCTCTCTTGACTTTTTATTTCTGCATTTTCAGCCTGGAGAAGAAGGATTGTATGGAGATGTCAGAGCAGCCATCCATTATCTGAAGGGACCTAAAAGAAAGCAGAGAGGGGCTCTGCTACAGGAACAGGAGTGACAGGGCAAGGGGAATGACTTTAAGGTGAAAAAGAGAAATTTTGTGTTGGATATATGGGAGAAACCCCTCCCTGTGAAGGTGGTGAGGAGGCCTTGGCACAGAGAAGCTGTGGCTGCCCCATCCCTGGGAGTGTCCAAGGCCAGGCTGGATGGGGCTTGGACCAACCTGGGAGAGTGGAAGGTGTCCCTGCCCAGGGCAGGAGGTGGGACTGGATGAGCTTTAATGTCCTTCCAACACAAACCCTTTGTGATTCTATCATTTTATAGAGCACACACAAGCACTGTTTGGGTGGTGACTCAGTCTGAAGTTGCCACCGCAGCTTTATTTTGGATTTTTTCCAGAACCCATTGTTTTTACAGTGTTTCAGGTGAAACAAAAATATTACTCTGGAGTATGTCTTTCATCTTGTAATCATCTCCCCAGGAAATGAAACCATGTGCATCAGCCTTAACGCATCACACCAGCACTTTGTTCTGTAAAAGCTGCAGCTTTTTTTTTCCTCAGTATATATTAACTCCATGAACTGCCTCAAGAAAAATAGTTCCCTGGCTTGGACTCTATGAATGTTGTTTTTTTTTTTTTTTTTTTTTTTTTACAACCTCTTTCCTTGCCTAATAGAAGAGATGATAGCACTTCTTTTTTCCACTGTGGGAACTTTGCTAGTGTTTTTAGGGATAATTGTGTTTTTCCTCAGTTAAATTTCCCTGTTCTACATGAAGTCACAGCTTCCTTCCTCTTGATTAAGGCAGACCAGCCTGGAAACTCCCTGATCTAATAAAATATGTTGATATGATTTTTAAGTGACAGATACAAAGCTTCCACACAGCTGCCAATCTCCTGATCACATGGTATTCCCTGTGCATGCCAGTACAGAGAAAATTCTGAGCTGAAAAAGTAACTTGTGGCTCTAGACTCTGCAATCACTTGGTTAATTTTAGTACAGCCTCTGCCAAGCCATCTCTTCCTCAGATTGCTTTGCACTAAAGCTGTCTCCTGTCTGGCTGTCAGGAGCTGAAGGAGCCTCTAAACCATCACAGGTGAAAAAATCCCAACCCTCCTAATTTATATTTGGGTTTAAAAAATCTCTTCCCTTGTGTCTTCTCCTGGTCCAAATCATCAGAAGGTGAATTTTCCTGTGGAAATCCTTCAAATGCCTACAGGAAAACGCTTGAACTTTGGATGCCATGGACAGCTGAAACAACCCCTGATTTTTGCAGAGGCAGTGATGGAAAAGCCTTGATCAAAACTCAGGTGCATCCTCCTCTGTTACTACAAGGAAACTCAAGCCTTACATGCAGTGTGGAAACTGCAGAGGTGATTCTTTTCCATGGTGGAATCATAAGATGATTTGCCCAGTTTACACCAGTCCCCAAGGATGTGCCGTGGGGGGCTCAAACCAGTGCCCACACTGTGCCACACAGACCCTGGCACAGCTCTGGAGCAGTGAGCCAAGCACTGTGGTGAGAAAGAGAAGCAAACAGCCCAGAAGCCTCTGTTGGAGGTCACAGCTTGGCCTCCACTGCTGAACAACATTGTGTGATGCAGACAAAAGGTGAGACGTTAAGTAGAAAGTGGGAATTGAAATTGTTTCTGAAAGCACCAACAAGGTGCAGCTGCACTGGGTACTTCCTTTTACCATGTTGGGCAGGATGTAGCAAATTATTTTGGAACGGCCTCCTTTTGAGAGGGAAAAAAACCCAACCAACCAACAAAAATTTTTCTTTTTTTCCTTTTTTTTTTTCTTTTTTTCCCTCCTGGGAAAGGGATGGGTGTTGAAATCTGCTTTCAGCAACTGGCAATCATTTTTCCTCAGAAAATGGAAATGGTTGTACAAACTAATTTTGAAGGAGTCTTGATAACAAGATCACCCTCACACCCTTGGACATGGAGTTGGCAGCAGAAAGCACCTGCAGAGGAAGCCCTGTTTCTGTGAAAGCAGGAATCTGTGGGATGTGAAGCAGAGCTGGTACTGAAGGATCCACAAAGAAAAACAGCCCATTTTTGGGTGAATCTGGAGCTTTCTGTGGCCCTCTGGGAAAACACCTGAACCCATCTGAGCTCATCCAGGACTGGGGCGGCAAGTCCCAACAGCAAAATCCAAATATTTTCCAGGATCGGGGATAAAAACACACAGTATGAGAGAAAACCCCTTTCTTCCATCAATATTCTCATCCAAGGAGAGCATGAGAGGGATCTCAGACTTTTCTGCACTATGGGGAGTCTTGTGCAGGAGAAAGAAAACACCCACCTATTTCCCCCAGCTCAGCCCAAAGTCAGACAGATTGGCAGGGCTTAATACAATCAATTAGGACAGAGGAGTGATTTTCTCCCTAAAATGTACCTGAAAATGCTGATTTTATGAAATTCTGGGTTGCCAGATCTTTGTTTTTCAACGTTGCTTTTATGTCGCCACCTCATTTTCGCTGCCACCCATTGTTTGTTCTCAGCATTTGATGTGGTTTATTACTCAGAACCAGAGCTAATACATATTCAGCAGTTCATGTTCTGTACTTTGGAGAAAGGACAAGTGATTCAGTGCCAGATTGAAGTGTCTAATGCTCGGCTGGAGGGAGGAGCAGGTGGCCAGAGAACAAGGCTCAAACAGGAAGCCGTGTGGTGCACCTCGTGCTGCTCGTCTTCACTCGCTAGCTTGAGGCACAACTTGAGTTTCAACCTTAGTCTGTCTCCTGTCAGAGAACCATGGAATGGTTGGGTTGGAAGGACCTAAAAGCTCATCCAGTGCCACCTACCCTGGTGCAGGGACACCTTCCACTCTCCCAGGTTGGTCCAAGCCCCATTCAACCTGGCCTTGGATACTTCCAGGGATGGGGCAGCCACAGCTTCTCTGGGCAACCTGTGCCAGGGCCTCACCACCTTCACAGGGAGGAATTTCTTCCATATACACAGCCTCAATTTTCCCTCTTTCACCTTAAAGCCATTCCCTCCTGTCCTGTCACTCCAGCTCGTGATGAATTGTCCTTCTCTGGCTCCCTTGTGACCCCTTCAGACACTGGAAGGTGCTGTGAGGTCTCCACACAACCTTCTCTTCTCCAGGCTGAACAGCCCCAACTTTCTCAGCCAGCTTTAAGCAGGAAAAAAAGCTGTCCTGGCAGTTATTAAAGATTTTAATGGAAGTGCTCGTAGTGTTTGAGTTAATTGTGGAAAGGAAATTCAGCACCCTAAGCTGGGAATCATCAGCTGTTTATACAGTGTGACCAATTTGCTTGCATTTTTACTCTTTAGTAAATCATTAGCTGCCTGTTACATCCACCTTTGTCATGGAGCTGCATTCATTTAGGCAATGCCTTTGGATTCCTCTGGACTGGCTACAGGTCCAGGAACCAGTTTGAAATCCATGGATGTTTGTCTTCAGGAGGTGTCAGGTTCTTTCCACATCCTCACAAAATTACTTCAGGCAAAGCTTTTGGCATTTCTGGGATACTTTTGTTTATCAGGAAACCCTTACCTTGCCTCTGCTGGTCTTACTCACATAATAAATGGAGATTATCAGCTGCTCCTCACATGTCTGAGAGCTATGGATAAAAACTGTGATTTGCAAGTGAAAATTAGGATTATTTGTTAGGCTTAACTAGTGAGAATCTATCCCATGGGAGAGCTGGGAGTCCTACACTGATCAGACATATTTCCTAGGCTTGTTCTAAGCACCAGAGGTTCCACAAGAAGGTATAAGTTATGAGATATAATTACTTATTAAATTTGTGCCTTTCTGGATTACCAATTCACAGAAGCAACCTGAAACGCTGATTTCTATAAAAATAATACTTGATAGTGGTGTGAAAAAGTGTTTTCTTTTGAATCCTGGCTAGTAATTTCAGGAGATGCTTGTACTGTACCATACATTCATAATCTGTAGAAGGAAATTCTCCATCAAAGATAATTACCAGGCAGGTTAATTGTTTTCAAGGGTTATCTCACTGTGAGTATTACTAAGTGTCCATGACCAGTGAAGTTCCACATCTCAACTTCATTTCTTCATCTGCACATTTCAATAAAACTTTTAGGAAGGCTGATACTGTTGTTTTATATAATTTTTAGTGCGTTTTTTTCCTAAGGTACTTCACTGTGGATAAGATTAGCCTTTTTTCACTCCTGTGCTTTGTTTTACCTGCAGATGATGTGATTAAAGTGAAAGGTGAATACAGTGAAAGAGAGGAGAGTGCTTTAAATTCCGAGCCAATGGAAAACCTGGAAGAATCCGAACTGCCTTACACATATCCCAGAGAATATAACGAATATGAGAGCATTAAACTGGAAAGACACTCGGGTTCATATGACAACGTCAGGCCAGCTAGTGGAAAGATGAATTGTGATATCTGTGGATTAGCCTGCATTAGCCTCAATGTCTTGATGGTTCATAAGCGTAGCCACACTGGTAAATATCCCTCTGTTGTTCTTGTAAGAGCTGGAGTACTGAAAATAAGATAATTTTTAATCTAGACTAGTTATTTTTAAAAAAGATATCAAAATCAGGGTTTTCTTGTTCCGTCCTTGACACCACATGTGATCTTTATCAAGTTACTCGCTGTTCTGTGCCTCACTTTACCCACCTTTCTTCTTATCAGGACTGAATATTATTAAAAGCAAGTTGGTGAGGCGTTTTAAGAATTTTGGATGAAAGGCACTATGTAATGCAGTATTTCTGGCACAAAGCAAAAGTTAATTTGGTTTTGTGCTGCCATTTTCAGTCTGTATATAAATTCCTCTCTGTGCCATACTTTGGCAACAAACCAATGAGCATCTTAACTTTCAGCCTGCAGTAAGATAAGACTTTTTTTCCTTCTAAAAATTGCTGGGTTGTTGGAATCAGCCTCCTCCAGAGCGCTTCTTTCCATGGAAGAACTGTGCAGTGTTTTCCATAGTCCTACATATGCTACAAGCAGCTCTGACACCAGAGCTGCACCTCCCTCCCACTGAAGCCGCACTCTGTGTGTTTCTATAGAAAGAAATCGATCCAATATCTCATTCTTTCCTCTTCCAAAAAGGCAGAGGACAGCATGATACCCACGTAACCATTAAATGTCCTTTTCTGTATGTCATTTTAAGGTGAACGGCCATTCCAGTGTAATCAGTGCGGAGCTTCCTTTACTCAGAAGGGAAACCTCCTCCGCCACATTAAACTACACACAGGGGAAAAACCTTTTAAGTGTCACCTGTGCAGTTATGCCTGCCAAAGGAGGGATGCGCTTACGGGTCACTTAAGGACACATTCTGGTAAGTGACTTCACAGGCACTCCATGTGTTTTGGATGTGTGTCACTGGGACACTCGGTGTGGAAAAGACAGTCAGCAAGGTTTGCTCGGCCTGTGAAAGGTTCAACACAGAGCAGTGACCTCTCACTGGTGCTCCTGGAGCCAGCTCAGGACTGGCTCTGCTCTTGGTGCAGAGAGAGGGGTCACGGGAGCCATGTCACGGCCCACAAACCTGCTTGCACAAATAACCCCGTGGTATTTTCACAGAATCACAGAATCACAGAATCGTTTTGGTTGGAAAAGACCTCCAAGATCATCAAGTCCAACCTTTGACCCATCACCACCTTGTCAGCTCATTTTCATACGAGTGCAGCTGGCTGTGCCAGCAAGCTCTGAACCTGAGGAGAGTGTGAGACATGCTTTGCTGGGACTTCCTCCCATCCCATTCTAAGCCGTGAGGAAAATCCCAGGAGCACAGTTGCAGGCAGATGACTATTGCCACCTCACTGTGGTGTAGTGCCTTTCATCTGAATCTCTTAAAATGCTCAACAGATATTTCTTCTTAAGCCTGGTAGGGTGTTCTGTCCATTTTACAGATGGGGAAATGGAGGCACAGAGCTGAGGTGACTTGGATTTCAAGTCAGGTATAACTCAATCTTAGCTACCCCAGTTCTGCAGGAGCCAGGCTGTGCTTGCCCTTGAATTTGTCTTTATCCTGTGTTCTACATGGGCTCAGAAAGAAAACATTGATTCTAAATTATAGGTGTTATCTCTGCACTGCACTGTACAGAAAAAGTTCAACCTCACAAAGAATCAAAGTTTAAAATGAGCTTATCTGCCGAGGATGAATGAAATTCTGATTTAATCAAGACCAACAGTGTGATGCTGTCCCCCACCAGCACAATGCTATAACCACCACACTTCAAGCAAGACAGTGTTTTAGTGATCTCTTGTGGTTATTTTAATTATTTTATTGTTTCTTTTTCTAGTGGAGAAGCCATATAAATGTGAGTTTTGTGGAAGGAGCTACAAGCAGAGGAGCTCGTTGGAGGAGCACAAGGAGCGCTGCCGGACTTACCTGCAGAACGCTGGCATGTGTGAGGCTGGTGAGTTTATCACATTGCAGTGGTTTTGGGGTTTCAGTGCTTTACAGGGCTTATGAAAGGGCATCTGGTGAGCTGTTAACCCACAGCCTGACAACAGCTTTTCCTACACTCCTTTTCAGTAACCTGAGGGGCTATAATGTTCTGAAGGGGCTGGTTCATCGGAGCCCTCAGGCTGGTAGTTAGGGAGTGCTTTTGCTTTAATCACTTTTTTCTTTAACTGTTACTTTGTGTAAAACATCTAAAATGCATTGTACCCAGCATTTCTGGAGGTGATGCTCAGTGAATTAAATTATTCCTACATTAATGCTGTTATATGGCTCATTTTACAGGATGAGTTGTTGACCACCGTGTGTTTGATGGTTCCTTTTCTTTAGAATAAGAACTGTTAGAATTTGAAGCAGTTTTAGTGGCTTGGATCCAGGGCATGAAAAGGGAGTGGTATCCCAAAAATCACTGACAGATCAGCTTAGGAGGGAGTGAGAGGTAAAGGGCTGCTTTGAATATAGAGCTGCCTTTGGAAAAGATGAAATGTATCAAAACATGTTCTTTTCTTATTTTCCATTTTGCAGTCTCAGTGCTGCAGTTCCAAAATACTTCAGTGAAAAGTAATCACCATAATCTTTGTCCCTGCTTCACCTGAACTGTTGAAATCCTAAAATGAATACTGTGATTTGGATCTCACAACACACCAGCAAGTCAGGAAAAAATTGCTCTTCCCACAGTCAAGGAGTGGCTGTGACCTCCCAAAGAACTCTGTGACTGATCTAAGAAGAGATGAGGCCACAGTTTCAGAATTCAGGCTCCCATTTTTTGCTATGCAGCCTTGAAAAAACACCAAATAATGAACACATGGAATCTCAGAGGGTTTGGGTTGAAAGGACCTTGAAGATCACCCAGTGCCCCCCATCCCTGCCATAGACAGGGACACCATCCACTCTCCCAGCTTGCTCCAAGCCTTGTCCAGCCTGGCCTTGGACACTTCCAGGGATGAGCAAATTATGCCAGGGCCTCATCACTCTCACAGGGAGAAACTTCCTCCTAATAACTCTATCCACAACAGTAAGGACAAGATTCTGTAGGAATAATCACAAGCCAGGCCTGAAAATCAGTGTGAAGAGCCACTGGTATGTGATGAAACCCTTGGGTACAGGAATCCCTACACTGTGCAGAGAGTGTAGCTTGGTGTTTCTGGCTTTGTGACACACACAGAAAGCTTCCCAGAGAACCATGATTTACCAAAGTGTTTCATAGAGCTTTTTAAGAGTTTTACAGTTTTGAGGGGGCTCTCTTCTTGTCAGCAAGTGACATATTTCTTAGAGCATTCATAAAAGTTACTGATAATCAGCTCATCAGCAAGTTCTGGGTTTGGTGAGAACCCTTACACATTGTAAAGTGGTTTGTGTTACATCATGGCCATCACCAAACATGTCCACCTGTGAAAATGGAAAACATGAGACCTGCTGCAGGTTTCTGCTTTGAAACTATTCCCATGGTTTAGATGCATTTCAGAATAGCAACATTCCCCCCTTACCCCAAGCCTGTGGTGCAGTCCTTGCTGCAGCACTGCAGGGAGCCTTAACTGGTCACAGGGAATGCAAATTCCCAGAGGCCAAGAGGTGTCTGCTCCCCTTGGAGACCTTCACACCCTTACTGCAGTGTTGTTAGGAAATTTTATGGAAAATGAGAACTCCTGGGGCATTTCCATCTAATTCCCTGGTATCAACAGGATGTTGGGTGGCAGAACCAGGGAGAGGGAAAGCTGGAAAGACTCTCAGGAGGTCATTTACTAAGTTCCTTTTTTTCCCCCCGAAGTGTAGCACTTTGCATTTCTGTTTAGTAAACATCCTCTTTCCATTACTGATCCTTTCCCTACTTCTCTGCATCACTTTGAATTTTGGTGTTTTTCTGAATTCCCCTCAAGCTTCTCAACCAGGTCTTGTGGAAGGTGTATCTATCCACAGCAGGAGGGTGGAACTGGATGACCTTTAAGGTCCCTTCGAACTCAAACCACTCCATAATTCTATAATTCTCACATGGAGCCATCTTTAGACACAAAAGTGCTCTACATGCCATCATTCATAACTGTTTAAAATATTTAAAAGCATCAGGACAGTAGTAACCATTCTATTTGTTTTTCAGTGCCATGCTTGCATGTTCTAAATGTGAAAATATTTCTAAAAGAGAAGTTTCATGTAACAATATAGTTGGGGCATTGTCCCTGATAACCATCTCTCTGACATTGTTCTCATTGCACAATCACCCAACTCCGTTCCACTCTCCATTCTTGAGTGACCACACAGAGATGCTACAGGAAGCAATGCCTCTAATTTCAGCTTTGTACTTGAGGGCTTTGCTAACATTATCTGCACATTCTAAAAATTCTACTCACATTGGTTGGTGTGGCAGAAACCACACTATGGGAACAGCTCAGTGCAGGGTGAGCGCTGGTGGGGCTGGGACAGCTGCCGCTCTCTCCAGCTGCAAGGGGTGACATGGTGGCCCAGAGATGGATGTCCCATCCCTGGAAGTGTTCAAGGCCACGTTGGACAAATCTTGGAACAACTTGGGCTAGAGGAAAGTGTCCCTGTCCATGGCAGGGGGGTGGTACAAGGTGATCCTTAAGGTCCCTCCCAAGCCAAACCACTCAGTGAACCCATGGTGGCCAGGGGACAACACCTTTTGGAGAGGTGGCTCCACACCCAGCACCCACAGGACAACCTAAGGAGTCCTTCCTAATGGATAATTCACAGTGGCAGGAAAGAACACTCTGGAAGTGCTTTACCCAGGCAGGATCACACCTGAAATGTGCACTGGGACAGGCAGCAGCACTGGGAGCAGCATGGAGACCTCTCAGGGGGGTCAGGGAAGCCCATCCTCAGCCCTGGTGCTGGCTGAGCAGGAGAGGGGCTCCCAGCTGTAAAAGTGCTGGGATCAACCCCATCTTTACACCATATAAAATTCCATGCTTAGGAGCTCAACTTCCCAAGTAATTCCAGAGCCAGTGATCAGATCTGACCAAGGGGATTTATTTGAGCTGCAGAGTTCCTTTCAGCATCCTCAGAGACTTTTTTTTTTGGCTTTCTGACCCTGCAGTTGAGCCAGCAGAGCCCTGAGCTTGCAGGATAACCTAAGATCCCAGGCTGCTAGTCAGTGCTTTGGAAGCCTGGATTTTCTGTATTTGTTTTTTTTTCTCAGTGTAATTTTGAGCAAAGCATTTGACCATTTCTGTTAGTCCAGCCTGAATTTTATTTTTAGATCCATGTTACAGTGAGATAATTAGTTATTTAAATCACCATACGCAGTGGAATCATCCAGAGGGAGGACAATTTAAGAAGGACACACAGTATGATTACTTCTCTATATTTGAGAAGTCTTTAGAGAATTTGGAGTGATTAAAAAACTTTTTTCTAAATACTAAATATTATTCTTGGATTGTTTAATATGTGATCCAGAAGAAAAAGTTGGATGAGATAATTTTCAGTTAGTTTCTGGGTACAGAGCCACTTTTGTGGATGAGAACCTGTATAACCACCTTCATCTTACTGGGAGCAGACATTGTTTCCCTAAGGCCAGGTTGTGGAAATGTCATCAAAGACCTTTTGTGGCCCATAAATAGAAATTATTTTTTCTTTAGGAAAAAATAGCCGGTAGCAAGGAGTCAAAAATCTTAATGTGAAGGCAAAGACCCTCAGCATTAAAATAAAAGGGCAGAGAAGCATGAAACTGCAAGACGGATTCTACAGGAATCCCAGATCATGTTATGTAGGTCAATAGTTACTGTCTCTGCAGATCTCCTCCAAGGAAAGGCTCTGTTATTCCTGCAGGAAGCCCTCATCTGCCCTCCTGACATTAATTCAACAATTAAAGTTCCCTTGGTGGCACATAAATAATGTTGACAAGTCACCCCTGATGTGCTACGTGCAGCTTCAGGTGTGCTCCTGGGGCTGGGAGGGCTGAGAGCAGCTCTGGGCTGAGTCCTGCCAGGATAAGGAAAAACACTGTGAAAATGTGGAATTAAAGCTTTACTAGAGCAACCCATGGCTCCTCAGAGTGCAACTCCTGGAGGTAAAGACTGAGGAAAAGGGGAACTAGAACAACAAAATCATAAAACCAAAGAACTGGCAGGGATCAGGGAGCTGCTTTTATGGTATGGGTGAATTGTGTTTTCTTTCTTTTTTCTTTACAAAGAAAAAGGTACATTTTTGAGTACACCATTTGTTGGGGTTTTCAAAATTTAGATTACTGTTGTTAATGACTTGTGCAATGATCCAGCCAAGATTATGAGACTTTGGGGTTGGGGGTAGTTCAAACCTTGCACTACAGTCATCTAAAGTTAATATAAAGCTGCATATTCCAGGCTTTGGAGCATGAGAATTAAACTGAAGTCCTGAAATTAAAAACCCTATAATTTTCAACACCAAACTAGAGCTTTTGGCCCAAGCCCAAACAGGTGATTACTTTCTACCTCCCTCCCTTCCCCTCAGAGTGTCACCTTAACCTGGTGTTTTGTCTCACTTCGTGCAGCTCTTACATCGTGTCTGGGTATTTCATGCTGAGAGCAGGGATGAATACATTCATGGGAACCTCCAAACACACTGGAGTAATTTGGAATAAAACTGAGACTAGAAGAGCAGTGTGTTATTACCTTCAAGGCACTCCATGCCCTGCACAGGGCTGGCTGTCACGTACATCCCAAGGTTCCAGGACTGTGACCAAGCCAGGCCCTGTTATCCCATCCTCCCTGACTCATATTTGTAGCCAGTGTTTGTGGCACCAAGTACCTCTGAAAACACTTCACGTTTTCAAACTGCTGAACAAACACGAACAAATAGTTCTGGCTGAGGTTTGGTGAGTCATGGTTTGTGCTGACTGAAACTGGTGTTATCAGGAGCAGCACTGACAAACAGGTACAGAGGACGGACTGAAACGCTCAGGGAAAGGCTGCACAGGGCTGGGAAGGATGAAGCTGCACTTTCAGCACTTGCTCTGCTGGGCAAACAGAAATTGAAGTCAATACTCAATGAATATGTGTTTAGCAGGAATGAAATATCAAAGTGTTCCTATCTCTTTCCTCTAGCACTGCTTGTCTCTTATTTAAGTTAGGCTTCATGTATTCAGGGAGACCTCATTTTGGCCTACCAGTGCCTTAAGGGGGTTATGAAAAGGAGGCAGAAGGATTTTTTATGCAGGCAGGGAGTGACAGGAGAAGGGACAATGGTTTTAGACTGCCAGAGGGTAGGGTTGGATGGGATGGTAGGAAGAAATTCTTCCCTGGGAGGATGGTGAGACCCTGGCACAGGTTGTCCAGAGAGGCTGTGACTGTGTCATCCCTGGAAATGTCCAGGTTGGACAAGGCTTGGAGAAACCTGGGATAATGGAAGGTGCCCATGACCATGCCAGGGGGGCACTGGATGGTCTTCAAAGTCCTTTCCAACTAAAATCACTCCATATTTCCATGATTTTACATTTAGATTTGTTGGTGTATGTACATTAACACAGCAACCAGGACTCTTTCACAGTGAAAACAACCTTTTATACCACCTTGGGAAAGTAAATCACTCCTCATTGTCCTCACCTTGTAGATCCCATCTCCTGCAGGCTCAGGCAGTCCACTAACATGTGTCCAGTCCTCAGCACAGTGATGCCTGCCACTATTTCAGCAATGAGTTTACTCTTCATTATAACTTTTGACATAAAACTACCAGTCCAGATGGGTGCTGTTGAGGTTTGAGCAGGGTTTGGGGGGGAAGCCACAGCAGTTATGATCAGTATTAGTGTGGTAGTAGCGATATGAGGTGGCAGCTCTCCAGCTCAAGGCCTCTGCAGCCTCCAGGAGCTGAGAGCAAGCACAGCTTCTGTGCAGTGCTGGGCACTGCTTAGCAGAGCTCTGGAAAATGGGAAGAGCCTTAACAGGCCCAATCCCAAGGGAGTCATCACAGGGCACAGGTACTTTTCCAAAAATTAGAAATTTGGGAGGTTGTAACAAGCTTTAAAACACAGAAGAAACAGTCATAGTTAGTTTTAGCTGTAGCATTTAGGAAAAAAATATAAAGTGACAGTAACACCTGGGGAAAAAAGAGTTAGAAATTTTGAATTTTGAAAGGCTTTATTGCTTTTTTTTTTACTGGAACACTGATAGATATCATACAAGTTTCTTAGTGGTTCGTTAAGACATCTCTGACTGATATCTGAAAAGTTAAGCAAGAACACTGAGTGTCTCCTCCTGCAGCTCGAAACACTGAGTGTGCAGGTGTCACCCAGCCTTACTCAGAATAAAAAAGAAAGGCCAGCGGAGCTTCTCTCTCCATCTGCAATTTAACCAAGCTTCCAGCCAGTTCATTTACTTCCTCTTGCTGACGACAGTTCTGGTTTGTGCTCCCCCCTGAGTGAGCTCAGGGCTGTGCTGCCACTGACCACAACGGGTGCCCAGAGAGCAGGAATGACAGAAAAAGCAAAACCAGCTCTGCATTAGATCTCCAAACTGTTTCCTCCAGTTATGTGGCTGACTGGAGATTAAACCAGTCAGCTCTTCCTTTATTTTTATCTTTCTTTTTTTCCTTTTCACCTACGTGTTGTGTTTTTTTTTTTTTTTTTTTTTCTCCTCCGTTTTTTTTTTTTTTTTTTTTTTTTTTTTTTTTTTTTTTTTTTTTTTTTTCCTTCCTTTTCACATTTTCCAACCTAGCCAGCGTGGAGGCAAGGCACATCAAGGCAGAGATGGGGACTGAAAGAGCCCTTGTGCTGGACAGGCTAGCGAGCAACGTGGCAAAGAGAAAAAGCTCAATGCCTCAGAAATTTATTGGTAAGAACAAAACCCCTTTTCATCTGCAACAGTTAAATACGTGTGGGTCGGTAACAAACAGTACAATGCCTCTGCTTCTTTTAAATATCCTGCTCAAGCTTAGCATCTAATACAAAAAAAATTAAGTAACACTGATTTTTGTGATGGGGTTTTAGCAATTTCTTGTAAGGGGTTGATTAAAATAAAAAGGATTTATTCTGTTGGCTGCTTAAACTGGGCGGAAGCTACTGTTGTGCCTTGTGTCTTTATGTAGGTGATTTAGAAATATGTTTTATGAGCTTCCACGTGCCATTTCTGTACCTATGTATTTGAAATGTTCTCTGCTAGGATCTAGAACAGGCAAAGAATAGGAAGGTTAATGTTTTCTCAGCAGGAGCTGAAGATTCCTGCAGGATTCATGTGTGGAATAAGGCCTAAAGGCAGAAAAGTATTGGATTTCTCTTAGTCATCCTATTAAATTTGTCTATGATTAAAAAATATCAAATCCTTTCTTGTGGTAATTTAAGCAAGCAGATGTTTCCATAGTACTTTCTTTGCATTTAATTGAACATGATCAGAGTTTTGCATGTTGGGGATCTCAAATACTAGTTGGGCAGGTTCTGGGTTTCAGCAAACACCTGACCCTCTTGGCCAGTCTTATTTCATCAACCTGCCTTTAAAGAAAATAAAATACAGCCCTGTCCTAAGGAAAACCCTTAGTCAGCAGTTATATAATATAGGTGCTGATGAAGCCTTATTTGTGCTCTTTGTAGGGTTACATAAGGTAAAAAGTGTTTTGGTTTTTTTTTTTTTTTACGGCCCAATATAAAGTTCACCCTCCGAGTGGGGCCCATGTGGGAGAGCTTGGGGCTGGGAGGGCAGGCAGGGCTGCTGCAGCCAAACCCCCAGCACAGGGTGCACCAGCTCCAGAGCAAGGTAAGGGTGAGCAGCTGGATCTATCCAGGTAAAACTGCACAGCTGGATCCATCCAGGTAAAGCTGCACAGCTGGATCCACCGAGGTAAAGCTGCACAGCTGGATCCACCCAGGTAAAGCTGTGCAGATGGGTCCACCCAGGTAAAACTGCACAGCTGGATCCATCCAGGTAAAGGTAAGCAGATGGATCCATCCAGGTAAAGCTGCACAGCTGGATCCACCCAGGTAAAGCGTGCAGCTGGATCCATCCCAGGTAAAGGTGAGCAGATGGATGCATCACACAAGAAACCAACTCAGTTTTTGAAGCTAATGGAGCTCTTAGTGGGTTTGGTAGGTAGCACTGGGCTTTCATCTATGAAAACTGGTCTCGTTTATTTATTTATTTTACATCAGTGTGGCTTTCTAAAGGTCACCCCACTGCATAGCCAGACCAGCACACTCCAACTGAGTCTCTTTGGTGCTCAGGATTGAAACTGGGCCTGTGGGGCTTGGCCCTTACATGTCTTACTGTGGTTCAAAAAGCAATATTAATGCAAATGGGTTTGTAATCCTTTAGCTTCCTCTATTTTAGCATTTTTTCAGCTCTCTCATTGTGCAATCACCACCAGTTTGACCTTTATGTATTTTATTAAACAAGTCTGCAGCAGGATGCACCCCCTCAGCATGAACCTAACGTGAAGAACGAGTGGGTTTGGGGTTTCCTCTGTGAGCCAAAGAGTTTCTGTGTGGCCCAGATCCTCTGGGATTTGTGCTCGTGCTGGATGGCATGAACAGGCACTGCACACACAGGTGATTGCGTGGAGAAGCCAGAGACCCCATCACAGATCACTCAAAGGCACAAAATAATCAATTTTTGAAACTTGCTGGTTTTCTAGGACTTATGTGATTTTTCTTGTTAAATTACATGTGCAAACATTCCCCCCTCAGTCCTCTGTATCCCTGGGAAGGATGTTTCCAGGAGCAGGCTGTCCGACCTTGGTCTGACTCCTGTGCCTTTCTGACCCGCCCCTGTCAGAGCTCGGATCTGCCAGGCCAGTGCAGGGATTCTTTGGGAAATCTGGGAATGAGTGCTGATGTCTCATTTAGCCAGGAAGCAGGGAGAGGGATATACACTAACAAGGCATCTTTGTTTGGCTCGTTTCTCTGAATGAAGTCTATTGATTGGAAGAAAAAACCCTTTATTATAATTGGAGGGCTCTGCAGAGATTCAGACAAGCACCAGGAGTCTCACCCACTTTATTTTTCACATTTCCATCCCCAGTAGCTGCCTCGTGTGCACCAGTGCAAGTCCCACACAAGGGCAGGGACCACCAAACCCTGCATTTGACTCTTCACCTCTGCACCAGGACCCTCTTCAGACCCTTTTCCTGAGGGACCTTAAAATCCACCAGGACAGTGGAATCACAGAGCACTGTGAGACCCTCAGTGATCACTCAGGAGTTGGACTCAATGGTCCTGGTGGATCCCTTCCAGCTCAGGATATTCCACAATCCTATGATCATACATCAAGTTTCTTTATCTTACTTTACAACAGTGACTCTTAACACCAAAATTTTTAGGGAGTCTTGCCTACTTTTGCTTTTGTTGTTATTTTTTTTTTTTCTACTCAAATTCCAATTTATTCACATCTTTCACTTGCCTGGAGCTGGTTTTGTGAGTCACCCAAAAGTACTGCAGCATTTTATTTCCTTCCATGCGAGGCTGGACGAGCGGTGCTGCGGGCTGGAAGCAGTTACACTCTTGTGGTTCGTTAACACCTTTTGGAGTCTTTTAGAAGAGAAACGTGAGCTCCTGGTTTTCTGCCTCTGCAGTGAAACCCCGTGAGTTTCATACACATTGAGTCACGGTGTTGACAGGTGACTGATAAACATCTGCACCAGTGAGTTACCGTAACTAAGAGAATTGTGGAGCTAGAGTTTGCGAGTCACCAGCATGTGAAACCTTTCAGCTGGTTTGTTTTTTGTTTTTTTTAATTTTTTAAGCTATGAACAAGTTTATGCTTTTAGCAACCACAAAATTCAGTTACTTATTTCTAGACATTCACCTCCAAAATGTCTTTAGTGCTTTTGGGGTGCAGTTTATTTCCTCTTTGCAGCTGGCACAGAGAACAGGAGTTGCCTTGTGCTGTCCAGAGAGGTGTGAGCAGAATTTCAGGTGCACTTTCCTCCACTTCTGTCCAGTCCAGAGCTTTCCAAGCCACCCAGAGAAAAACTTTTTTTTTTTTTTTTCCACAAACCCTGTATCAAGGGACCCTAACTGTGGGGGGGTTATATTTATATCTGCCAGTATTAGATTACCTGAATACCTGTGTAGAGATCCAAGAAGCCAGGTATGGTTCAGAAGAAGCTGTAGTTGTCAAAGCACAGTGGAGAAAACTGCCTTCAGTGTCCAAGGACTTGTCAAAGATGAATCTCTCAGAAAGTACCCTCACCACCTCCTCTATTAGACTGGTTTGCTTCTACTCCTGAGATTTTAAAAAATATGAAAAAAAAACAAATACCCCACCCAAAAGTTACTTGTGTCTAAGAACAGTCTCTTTCAGCAGAGAACATATCATGCCCCATTCCCAGAGATTCCTACCCTTTAGAAAAGTCATCACAGGGTTTAAACAGCTCTTTACCCACTCAGAAGCTGCACAGCTGGATCCATCCAGGTAAAGCTGTGTAGATGGATCCACCCAGGTAAAGCTGCACAGCTGGATCCCTCCAGGTAAAACTGCACAGCTGGATCCCTCCAGGTAAAGCTGTGCAGATGGATCCATCCAGGTAAAGCTGTGCAGATGGATCCATCCAGGTGAAGCTGTGCAGATGGATCCATCCAGTTAAAATTGCACAGCTGGATCCATCCAGGTGAAGCTGTGCAGATGGATCCCTCCAGGTAAAATTGCACAGCTGGATCCATCCAGGTAAAGCTGTGCAGATGGATCCATCCAGGTAAAACTGTGCAGATGGATCCATCCCAGGTAAAGCTGTGCAGATGGATCCATCCAGGTAAAGCTGTGCAGATGGATCCACCCAGGTAAAGCTGTGCAGATGGATCCATCCAGGTAACATCCAGGTAAAACTGCCCAGCTGGATGCATCCAGGTGAAGCTGTGCAGATGGATCCATCCAGGTAAAACTGCACAGCTGGATCCATCCAGGTAAAGCTGTGCAGATGGATCCATCCAGGTAAAACTGTGCAGATGGATCCATCCCAGGTAAAGCTGTGCAGATGGATCCATCCAGGTAAAGCTGTGCAGATGGATCCATCCAGGTAAAACTGCACAGCTGGATCCCTCCAGGTAAAACTGCACAACTGGATCCATCCAGGTGAAGCTGTGCAGATGGATCCATCCAGGTAAAGCTGTGCAGATGGATCCACCCAGGTAAAGCTGTGCAGATGGATCCATCCAGGTAAAACTGCACAGCTGGATCCATCCAGGTAAAACCGCACACCGTAATTACCACTCAGGTAATCATCACCTCTCATCTCTTGCAGGTGAGAAACGACCCACCTTCGACATCAATTACAACTCCAGCTTCCTGTACGAAAAGGAGAGCGAGATGATGCACGGGCGCATGATGGACCAGGCCATCAACAACGCCATCACCTACCTCGGGGCCGAGGCCCTGCGCCCGCTCGTGCAGACCCCGCCGGCGCCCACGGCCGAGATGGTGCCGGTCATCAGCAGCCTGTACCCGCTGCCGCTGCCCCGCGCCGACGTCCCCAACGGCACCGCGCCGGAGGCCGAGAAGAGCCACCTCAGGGACAAGAGCCTGTCATCCGACAGGGGCCTTTCCCCCAACAACAGCGGCCACGACTCCACAGACACTGACAGCAACCACGAGGAGAGGCCCAACCCCACCTTCCACCAGAGCCAGGTGATCGCGGCTCCGACCCGCAACGGCCTCCAGGCCCTGAAGGATTTCCCGAGGCCTTACGAGATCATCAAGCCTCCCGCCATCTGCCCACGCGACGCCTTCAAGGTCATCAACAAGGAAGGGGAGGCCATCGGGGTGTACCGGTGCGACCACTGCCGCGTGCTCTTCCTGGATTACGTGATGTTCACCATCCACATGGGCTGCCACGGCTTCCGCGACCCCTTCGAGTGCAACGTCTGCGGCTACCGCAGCCACGACCGCTACGAGTTCTCCTCGCACATAGCTCGGGGAGAGCACAGAGTGGTGCTCAAGTGAAAGGACCGGTTCTCCAAGGTCAAAGGATGTGTTTTCAGTCGGAGGGGAGGCTTGGTTGGTTGGGGTTTTAATTAGTGTAATGAAATTTCTTGAGTATTTTTCTAGGCCAGTTTTAAGCGTGTCACAAGGTGACACCTTTTTAAATTTGTCTTTCCCGATAATTCAGTGTTCTGTAGCATCTCTGCCTGGCTGCTGTGGTGAGTGGGACTGTGGGAAACACCAGAAGCAGAGACTGGTTTTGATATGAACATTATTTTTGCGAAACTTCAGAGCCATTTATGATGTTTTCAATTTTTAACTTGTGTTTGTTTTTATAGAGTTTGCTTTAAGTCAGCACAAAAGGTTTTCATGCCAATTCCCCTGCTCATTCAGGTGAATAGTCAGAGGTGTGTTGGAGGAACTTTTCGTAGTTATAATCCCAGTGGCTCATCACCAAAACAAGGAAAAGAGGGCAGGAAAAAGGAGGGATTATAAATTCCTCTTTAAAGCTTTTCCCCTAAGCCCTAACAAGAGTGTGGCACACTTTCATTTTTCTTACCCCACGGTTGATTTTCTTTAAAGTTACTCATTAAGAGGAAAATAAGAAATGAGACCTATTTGGGGTTGGGATTTTTTAACAGTACATATTTTTGGGATACCCAGTGATGTCACTGGATGGCTCATCCATGTGGCCTGGAGGAAATCCTCATTTTCATTGCTGGAAACTCCTCCTTTCTGATGGCTGCCGAGATGAAGCTGTGCTGTGTGTTGTGCCTCTGTCCCACAGCAGACGTGTGGCCGTGCCATCTGTGTCCCCACAGGGTGGCCCTGGCTGGCTGTGGACAGGTGAGACCCCAGGCAGGGCTGTGAGAGCCACACTCACACCAGGACAGCCCTCGGGAGGTGCTGCTCCACACCCTGAGCAGCTGCCACCCCTTTGAAGTTGGTTTTTACAACAGCTCTTTGGCTCTCCCCGTGGCCCCACAGCTGCGTTGGTGTCCCTGTGCTGGAGAGGGGATTGGTAACGGCTTTGCTGAGTGAAGGTTTAATCTTTGCAAAATATTTTTGTATCCTGTAGTTAGGAGTGTTCTGATGGACTTTCTGCATCCCTTGTGTGGTTTGAGAGCTGTGTTGCTTTTGTGTTATCCCTGGTGATCCAATCACTTCCCTGAGGGAAGGCTGTAGAACTGAGGGTCAAGAAATACTGAAATCCATCCCTCCCTCTGAGTTCTTTCGGCTCAATTATTTCCCCTCTGAATTTTAAGGCACAAAATAAGAAACTTACATTCATGTTTTCCACTAAAGGTGGATTTGGAGAGGGATAAATCAGCCTGCAGTGTGTCTCAGTATCCAGAGTGCTCTGGAAGTGCTAATCCAGGATCCTGCTGTCCCTGGGGTTGAGGAGAACTCTTCTGCTCTTCTGTGGGGAGCTGCAAAGCAGGTTTAGGATGTTTCCCAGAGCTCCATCATGAGAAAGGCGCATGTTGGTTCTCCCCAGATGAACACCTGTGTCACAATGTGACCAATGCTCCTCCTGTGAGGGAGGCTGCAGTTCCACCAAGGATCAGCCCCAAGGGTCAAGCTTTTGGGTCCAGAAAAGAGAGGGAAAGGGAGTGAGAGAATTCCCAGAGAACAAAGAGAAGGTTCCACTGCTGCCCTGACATTTCTAAGTCCGACATTTTTAGGACATTGTTGTTGTCTTTATCAATTTCTAATTTTGTGACAAGCTTGCTTTTCAATGGCTTCATTTTTAAGACCAAAGAATTGTCAATAAATGAATAAAATATTTAAATAATGACGATGTCCTGACTTGAGGGCAGGCAAAGGCAGGTTCTTAAAGGAATCCACAGAGACCTCCTGGAGCCATCCAAAAATCTTATTCTCCATAAGTGCATTGGGTAATGGATTCATTTAAGAATACACTTGAATTGTCCCATCATTCAGCCCTGTCCCACAGTGCTGCCCTGGCTTGGGAGATGGGAATCCCACTGGGCCATGTCTGGATGCTGAGGGGCTGTGTTGGTCCAGGACAACTCTCTGAGCTTGGAAGAGCTCTGGAAACCAACTTGTCCTGGAAAACGGATGGGAAAAACATTGGTGCTGGTTCAGAGCTTGATTTATTCTGCTCCTGCCTTGGTTATTTTGGTCTGGAACAGGTTTGGAGCATTCTCCAGTGCCTTGGTGTGTCCATCTTGCTTGGTTCTTCATTTACTGATGAATTACACCCCAAGAGTGGGCAGGGGAGGCTCAGGCAAGGAACTTTAACACCAATAAAGGAACCTCTGGTGCTTAAAGGATTTTTTAAGTTTTAAAAATGTCAGTATATAAATGTCCACTCTGTCAGCCATGAAAACAGATCTGGGAATGACCAGCAGAGCTGGCTGAGGAGTGAGAATGAGTGCTAGGGCTCATTTTACATGCTGGGAGATGTAGACCCCCCAGGTGTGATGGAATCTGTGTCCCCAAGGGGCGCTGAGCCGTGGTGGAGGCTGTGCTCAGCAGAACCTGTTACTCAGTAGAGTGACTGATACAGTCAGAGGTGTAAAATAACATCATCTTCTCCTCTGACTGCTGGAAAATGGTGGTGGATATGGTTTTGGTGAATTGAGGAACGGTTTAACCTGAGAGCTTGGGGTGGGGGCAGCTCAGCCCCACTCCTGGGCTGCGGGGTGGGTTCGTGGTTCCCAGGGCTGTGTCAGGCAGATGGAAACATCCCGGCTGCGGAGGGTGGAGGCTCACACCAACCCCCCGGCCCTTTTAGCACCTGCCTCACCAGGCTGACGTTGTTCGCGCTTCTTTCATCCCCCCCGACACCTCCTGACACAAGAGCTGGACACGCTTGAGAAACAGAAACGAAAAAAATTTTCCCTTCACTTCCTTCCAGCCCGGGTGCCACCAAACACTGAGGGGTCTCTCCCCCTGCTGCTGCCGGGACACTCCGAGGGTTGGGTGAGACAGAGGGGGCTCGGGGCTGCGGACAGCGAGTCCCACGGCTCTTCCCACCCTGGTTTGTCTTAATAAGAATTGGTTCGATCCAAAACCCCTTCGCCTTCTCCTGCCTGGAGCCAAACCCCTATAAAGGCTTACAGAAACCTTCAGTTGGTGTTGTGACAGAGAGATCCTTATCTGCTGATAGCTGTAATCGTGATAGAGCACAGAGGAACTCGTTTCTCCTGTCGTGTCGTGTTGAAACACGCTTCCTTAACGCACCAAAAAAAAAAAAAAATAATCCCATAAAACTTCCGGCTGCTGGTCTGCATCCTTGGAGCATCCCGGCCGGCTCCTGCTCCCGCGGAGAGCGGTCCAGCACCCAAAACCGACGGTGCCGGGAGGGGACGGGGAGGATTGAGTCACTGCCACCACCCCCTCGGTGGCCCAATTCCCCAGCCCTGCACTGACTCACGCTCCCCGCGCCGGCCCGGCGGGGACCCGGCGGCGTTTTCCCACCCTCCGCGTGGGTCGGCTTCCCAAATTCGGGGGGCAGGGGGTGAGCAGAGCAGGCTCTGTGCTGAGCGACAGCGGGAAGGGGCATTGGAAGTGCCCCCAGCTCTGGCATCGCCACGGGGGAGCTCCGCAGCCCGGCGGCTCCCCCCGGGACACGGTGCTGTGCTGGGGACAGGGCCGTGACTGTCACCGGGGCACCACCACGGGGGCAGCAGCTTTGTGTCACGCCTGATGCCCCCCTCGCTGAGCCGGGAGGGAAGTGAAGCCCCCGGGGAGCCGCCGAACCGGCCCCTCCAGCCCCTCCAGCCGGGTTATATCTGGCGCCACATTTGCATGGCAGCGAGTCGGCACCTGGCAGCGAAATCCTCGGGGGATCGAGGACACGGGGAGCGGCTGGCAATTGTCACACGCTGGCGACAGGAAAGTCCCAGCAGACGATTGTTTTTAGAAGAATTTACTTCCAACCCGCACGGCTCCGGCCCCTGCGGCAGCGCCTCCACCCCGCGGGGCTGCGGCGATGGGGGTGACAGCCCTGGGCTCCAGGTGGTGCTCCACGGCCACGGAGGATGCTCCAGGTGGGAGGTGACGCTCCTCAGCCTCAAACACAACCCAGGTGCCCCCTACCTCTTGGGGATGCCCTCACCCACAGCAGCTCCCTGTTCTCCCCTCTCTCTGCCCGGGACTGCCGTGAGCAAGGCTGGGAGCGGGGCTGGGGCTCATCCTGCTCCACCCAGTTCCCCCAGTTCCAGCCCCATTGCTGCTCCCCTGGGCACTGGGGGACACCGTGGGGCTGGGGGTGTGTGAGGGGGTCCTGTCCTTCCTCAGCCCCATTTCCCACAGCTGTGGCTTTGTGCCGGGGCCCCCCTTGTTGCTCCCCGGGGCCGGGCAGAGTCACGCCTACCTTCCCCCCATCCTGCCCCCCAAGCGGAGAAAGTTAGTCAAATCTGCAGAAACCGCAGAGGGGGGAGACAGCGACACTGTCACCGCTTTGATGTCACCCCTGCACGTCCCACAGGTGCTGCCACCACCCCGGGGCCACGGTCCCACCACCGCTTTGCCATAAACTCGTGCGAGAAGGGGGGATAATGCAAAAATATTTCCTTCCCCACCTCCATCCTGTCCCCACGGTCCCTAGAGCCGGCGGGGCTCGGAGAGGCCACGTGCGAGGCACACGGAGCTGCAGCCGCTGCCATCCAGCCCTCTCACCTGAGGCTGGGGGTCCCTCCCGAGCTCCGGGGGCTCAGGGAGTGCGGGGGGAGCCAGGAAGGTTTCTGAGCAGCGGGGCTGATTCATGCCGGGCCTCCTGTGGTTTCCCCCTGCTCTCACCTCCCGGTGCTGTCACGCCAGCGCCCAGGGTGAACCCACCCCACTGTCACCCACCGGGAGCTGGAGCAGGAGAGCCCCTGGGGCAGCGTGAGCTGCTGGGCACCCCTGCACCTGCCCTGTACCCAGTCTTTGTCATACATCCCACCCCCACTCTGCACCAGACCCTGCACCGCAAATGCCCCCCGTGCCTCTCTGAACACATCATGCACCCCTCTCACTCTGCCCTCCCAACACCTCCTGCACCCCCTGTGCTGCCCCAGTGCCCCAGGGCTCTGTGCCACACAGGGGTGACACCCACCACAGGACATTCCCGACCTCACAGCAGTGCCTGGAGGAAGGAGGATGCAGCACCATGGGGTGACGGAGTGAGGTCCCCTGGGTGCCACACGCCCGCGGGTCAGAGGCACAGGTGCCCCTGGGGAGCAGGAGGCAGGCAGGGGGCAGCTGCCAGCCCTTCCCAGCCCCGTCACGGCCGCTGCACTCCCGGAGGAAGCTGCTCTTTGTTGCTCACCCTGCCCTGGTTATAAATACCCTCCCCATTTTAATGCGGCGGCGGCGGGAGCTATTTCAGGCCGGGAACGGGAAGCGAAACCCTGCACGGGTCCCGGCCCCCTTGCCCCCGTCCCCGGGATGGGCTGGGCAGTGCCCAGGAGCCGCAAGGGTTTATTTGAAGCCCAGGAGCCTCGCGCCCGCCTTGACCTTCTGTGCCTTCCAGCGGAGCAGGCGGATGGCGCGGAGGCCGAAGCGCAGCACGGCGTCGTACTTGAACACCAGCTGGTAGAAGGCGTCGGTGATGAGGGCGCCGCTGGGGTCGGCGTGTTTGAGGGCGGCCATCGGCGTGTAGGCCACGTTGGTCTGGTGCCGGAACGGCGGCCGGGCAGCCTCGATCACCCGCAGGGTGTGCTGCACGTAGGCATGGGATTGTCCCCTTCCTGTCCCCTTCCTGTCCCCTTCCTGTCCCCACAGCCCCACCCCATCCCACCCCTGTCCCCTTTGAACCCTGTCTGGATCCTATCTGCACCTCCATCCTCATTCATTTTTCCCCTCTCTTCCCATTCTCCTATTCCCATTGCCATCCCATCTCCTTCTCATTCATTTCCTATTCCCATCTTCAAGCACCTCCCATCCTATCTCTAATTCATCCCACCTCATCCCATTACCATTCCTATCCCAACCCCAACTCCTTCCCACTCCATCCCTATCTTTATCCTATTCCAACCCATCCCCATCCCCATCCCATACTACCTCTATCTCCATCCCTTCGCATTCCTATTCCATTTCCGCCCATCTCCGTCCTCAGTTCCTTCCCATTTTATTCCCATCCCATCACCATTCCTACTCCCATTCCCATCCAGGCTCAGCCCCATCAGGATGGAGCTGTCTGGGTGTCAGCTGCCCCACTGCTGGCTGGGCATTGCTGTTCCTTGTTAGGACAAATTGACACCTCTGTCCAGCCCAGCAGGGCACCCCCAGCCCATTGGGACCCCCTGCCCGCCTGTCACCTCTGCAATGTCCTCGGGGGTCTGGCCCAGGCTGGTGAAGACATCCCTGGAGTTCCTCAGGTAGAGCTTGGTGAAGATTTCGGCCGTCTCGGGGTCGGTCCGTGAGTAGTCGGCACGTTCGGCTTCCTCGTACAACTTCGTCTCGAATTCCGTCATCACCGGCCCCGGCTCCACCAGGCTGATCCTGCCCAGGGATGGGGCACTGGGCACTGGGCACCCCCGGACCCCCGGCCCCAGGGGCTGCACTGCCACTTGCCCCCACACTCACGCCACGTTGAAGCGCAGCGCCTGCACCACCAGGCTCTCGCAGAAACCTTCCACCGCAAACTTGGAGGCCGAGTAGATGTCATTGAAGACGATGCCTGGATGGTTGGGGAGCTCCAGTCAGGGCTGGGTGAGGGCTGGTCCCCCCAGGGCACCCCATTTTCCCCTACCCTGCAGGCCCATGATGCTGCTGATGACGACAATGTGGCCCCCGCGGCGCCGCTTCATGTCGGGCAGCACCTCCTTGACCAGGCGCACGAGGCCGAAGAAGTTGGTGTCCATGAGGCTCTGCATGGCTGCCAGGCTCTGGCACTCCAGGGGTCCCGCCATGCCCACCCCGGCATTGCTGACTGTGGGCAGGGGGCATCAGTGGGGTGTGCCCTGGGCAAGGGGATCCCTCACCCTGGGCATGGAGGTCCCTGGTTCCCCGAGTGTGCCCAGCATGGGATGTCCTGGGTGTGGAGGGTCCCTGGTGCAGGGTGACCCTGGCATAGAGAGTCACTTGTGTGTGGGGTCAGGGGGTCCCTTGTGCCTGAGGGACCCCTGGCACAGGGGGTCCCCAGTGCTTGGAGGGTCCCCAGAATGGGATGTGCTGAGTTTGGAGGGTCCCTGGTACAGGGGATGGTGTCCTGGTGCAGGGGGTCCCTGGCACGGACAGTCCCTGCTGTGTGGGGTCAGGATCATGAGGCACGGAGGGTCCCAGCACTGGGAGCACAAATGATCCCCGGCACTGGGACCCCCCAATAGCGGGATCCCCACCATGGAGGGTCCCCTCACCGGGGTCACGCTGGGACACAAATCCCGTGTCTCACCCAGGATATCGATGTGGCGCCCGGGGATGCTGTCGAGGCAGGCGCGGATGGAGCCCTCGTCGCACACATCCAGCTGTTTGATCTCCAGCGTCCGGCCCAGCGCCGGCCCCGCCGCCGCCGCCAGCGCCCCGCTCCTGCCCGTGTTCCTCATGGTGGCGATGACTGCGGGCACAGCCGGCTCAGCCCCCGCGGGCTCTCCCCGGGGGCTGGGGGGGTCCCTGCGCCCCGCTCACCTCGGAAGCGGCGCTGCTTGTCCCTCGCCAGGCGCACGGCCAGCGCCAGCCCGATGCCCGAGGAGCAGCCGGTGATCAGCACCGTCTTGGGAGCCATGGCACGGCCTCTCCCCCCAGCCCCCCGCCTTTATAGCAGCTGCCCCAGCCCCAGCCCCCCCAAATCCGGGCCCTTAATCCCCCCTGGATAATCCCCCCCTCCCGGGGATTTGCGGTGGCCGCGTGGCTGAGCCGCACGTGGTGCCCGGGGAGCACAGAGGGGCCTTTGTGTGGGACCCGGGGCACTGTGGGGACACGAGGGACGTGGGGACACTGCCAGGCATGGGGACACTGTGGGAGATGGGGACGCTGCCAGCCGTGCGGCACTGGGGATGGGAAGGAAGGAGGCAGGACCTCTGCAAAAATAACCTTTATTATCACTGGTATAAAACACGTCCCAGTTCAACTGGCCTCGTGGAGACGTGGGGGACACGGCGGTGATGGGTGCCCCCCTCACCCCCACACCCCGGGACCCCGCTCCTGGGGACCCCAAAACCCCCCTGGTGTGGGGGCAAGGAGTGCCAGGCCCCTGCAGGGGCACTCGGGGCTGGTGCTGCAGGGCAGAGGGGAGAAAGTGCTTGAGTGTGGGGGTCCTGGCAGTGGGCTGTGCTGAGCTGTGCCATGCTGGCGGTGCCAGGCTGTGCCAAATCATCCTGGTGGTGCTGGGCTGTGCCAAGCTGTGCCATACTGGCAGTGCCAGGCTGTGCCAAACCACCTCACTGTGCCAGACTGTGCCAAACTGTGCCATGCTGATGGTGCTGGGCTGTGCCAAACCATCCCACTGGTGCCAAGCTGTGCCAGCAGTGCCAGGCTGTGCTGAGCTGTGCCACGTCAGTGGTGCCCAGCTGTGCCAAACTATGCTGGTGGTGCTGGGCTGCGCCAAGATGTATCAACAGGGCCAGTCTGTGCCAAACAATCCCAGTGGTGCCAGGCTGTGCCAAGCCATCCCATGCCGGTGCTGCTGGGCTGTCTCAAGCCATGAGACTGAGCCAAAGAACGCCAGCAGTGCCAGACTGCGCCAAACCACGCTGGCAGTGCCAGACTGAGCCAAACCCTGCCGTGCTGGTGGTGCCAGGCTGTGCCAAGCCCTGCCAGTGGCTCAGAGGGCCACGCAGGTGCAGTAGTGCCGCAGCTTGCAGGGCAGGATGCCGCGGTTGATCTGGTGGAACTCCACCAGCTGGATGAGGTCGGCGAAGCGCGTCTGCCCGTCGTCCATGGTGAAGTAGAGCCGACCCTCCTCCTCGCTCTGCCGGGGGGCTGCAGGTCAGGACCCCTCTCCCCAGCCCTCCCCCGGCCCCCCCAGCCCAGGCTGGCACTCACCGGCAGGATGAGGTAGTGTTTGATGCGCTGCAGGTGGCACAGGGACAGCACGAAGCCCTTGGGGTTCCGCTGGCTCTCCCGCACCAGGAAGACCCTGCAAGCCCCAGTGGTGTCACTGCTGGCCCCAGGTCCCCTGTGTCCTCCCAGTGTCACCCACAAACACCCTCTGAAGAGCTGGGAGTAGCCCAGTACCCCCTGGCATCCCTGGGAGTCTCTGCGTCCCCCCAGGAGCCTGTGTGTCCCCCAAACCCTGCAACAACCTGGGATCACTCACCCCCACACATGTCCTCTCTCCACCCAGGAGCTGCAAGACCCTGTAACCCTTGTGCTCCTGAGCCTCCCTGGAGTTCCCATGTCCCCCTCCCAGAGCCCCAGGGACCCCGACCCCCCACCCCAGGGTCCCTTACCCATCCACCAAGCCCTGACGGCCGATGAGCTGCTGGGTGTCCTCCCGGGAGATGCGCCCGTGGAACCAGGGCTGGGTGCGGTGGATGGCTGTGGGGAGAGGGGTGTCACACTTGGGGGGACCCCCTGCCTGAGGCAGGGACCCCCAGTGGGCACTGAGCCCCCATCTCACCGGCGCTGAGCGGGGAGCTGTGGCAGGCTGCGGGCAGGCTGTACCGGTGCGTCGTCTTCTTCTGGGCACACAAAGAAAGGAGGGGACATTAGGGTGGCCTCAGGGGGTCTCCCCATCGCTCCCCAGAACCCCCACTCACCCTCCAGGCCTGGGCCTCCTCCAGAGCTACGGTCAGCACCTCACTGGGGTTCTCAATCACCCGGCCCGTGCACCCTGAGAAGTCCATGGCCACCAGTGCATTGTCCGAGACGCTTCGCTGTGGGGGACAGGAGGGTCACCAGAGGGTCCCCACGGGCCAGGGGCTGCGGGGGGCAGGAGACACTCACCAGGGGCGTGGGGCCGATCCAGGGGGGCTGGCTCAGTCGTGCCTGGGCTTGCTGGTAGTTGCGGTAGAGCTGCATCCCGTACTGAGGGAACAGCTCTGTCAGCTGGGGGGGCCCTGCTGCGGGGTGGGGGAGCACCCAGGGACACCCAGGGACACTCAGGGACACCCAGGGACACCCAGAGACCTCCACAGCCCCCCAGTGCAGAGGTGGGGACCTCTGCATCCACTCCACGTGGGCACAGGGACACCCACCCTGAAACATTTTCACTGGCATGGGGTCATCCATCCAGCATCCCTCTAGAACCCCTCCACATTCCCCCCTTGTATCTCTCCAGCACCCCTCCAGCACTGTCAGATTAAGCCCTTTTCTGACCCAGAGATAGGGCAACTGAGAGGTGGTTTAAATACTTTTATTCTGTTTTCAGTCTCATGTAAAGGGTGAGACAATACAGATGTTATAATTCACGCCATCACAACCAGAAGCTAATTATTTCCTAATTATAATATACTAGCACCTCACTGGGGTTCTCAATCACCCGGCCCGTGCACCCTGAGAAGTCCATGGCCACCAGTGCATTGTCCGAGACGCTTCGCTGTGGGGGACAGGAGGGTCACCAGAGGGTCCCCACGGGCCAGGGGCTGCGGGGGGCAGGAGACACTCACCAGGGGCGTGGGGCCGATCCAGGGGGGCTGGCTCAGTCGTGCCTGGGCTTGCTGGTAGTTGCGGTAGAGCTGCATCCCGTACTGAGGGAACAGCTCTGTCAGCTGGGGGGGCCCTGCTGCGGGGTGGGGGAGCACCCAGGGACACCCAGGGACACTCAGGGACACCCAGGGACACCCAGAGACCTCCACAGCCCCCCAGTGCAGAGGTGGGGACCTCTGCATCCACTCCACGTGGGCACAGGGACACCCACCCTGAAACATTTTCACTGGCATGGGGTCATCCTTCCAGCATCCCTCTAGAACCCCTCCACATTCCCCGCCTTGTATCTCTCCAGCACCCCTCCAGCACTGTCAGATTAAGCCCTTTTCTGACCCAGAGATGGGGCAACTGAGAGGTGTTTTAAATACTTTTATTCTGTTTTCAGTCTCATGTGAAGGGTGAGACAATACAGATGTTATAATTCACACCATCACAACCAGAAGTTAATTATTTCCTAATTATAATATACTATAAGCGTTTTTTGGCCTATCAGCTTTTGCCATCCCATGCTGTAAATGCCTTAAAGCCAATCATCTAAAATTACCTCTCGTGGGTCCTACTACAAGGCATCTTTTGTAGTTCTATTTATCCAAAGTGTCTGGTCTTATTTGCAAGGCCACCTTTTGAAACTTTTTTCCTAGTTCCATTTTTCCCCCAACAATATCTGTTCTATTCCACGGCATTCCTAAGCCAGCATTTCTCATCTCAAGTCTTGCATACGGACGCACACCGTGTGAGCCTTCTGCCACATCACCACCCCAGAATTCCTCCAGAATGCCCCCATCCTCCCTCCAAATTCCCTCCAGCACCCCTCTGCCATCATCCCAGCCGGCAGGGGGCCGGGGCTCACCTTGAAGAGCCGGAACGCGGCCATCCAGCAGCTGCGGCTCTGCTCATCCTCGCTGCAGAGCAGCTTCAGGCCCTTCGCGCCGCTCCGCACCTTGTGGGGCTGCGGGAGAGGCCGGAGCCGTCACGGGGCAGCCCCGGGTGGGCTCTGAGGGGACAGAGAGCCCTTGGCAGGGGGAGGCGCAGGGAATGACCCTGCCACAGGCAGGGACATCCCCACCTTGATGCAGAAGCCGAACTCAGTGGGCGTCCCGTAGAGCTTCTTGCCCTGCGTCACGTAGTAGATGTTGGACTCGGTGAGGTCGGCGAAGTACTGCAGGTGCCGGGGGTCCTGGGGGGTGGGGGGTGTCAGGGCTGGCCCCGCTGCACCCCCTGGCCATGCCCCCCTCCCCCAGGACCCCCTGGCCTCACCTTGGAGGTGCCCTTGGTGGAGTAGTAGAGCCCCGAGCGGCGCAGGGAGAAGTGGAAACGCTTCCAGACCTTGCGCCCGGCCTCCCGCAGGTGCAGGAAGCCCTGGACCTCAGGGCAGCTCCCAGAGTTGAGGAAATTCTGGGGGGACACGAGGGCTGAGGGGCATGGCGGGGTCCCCGGGGCACGGTGGGGTCCCCGGGGCACGGCTGGGCATGGTGCCCCGTACCTGGATGAGCTCGGAGTGCGCCATGCTCTTGTTGGCCTCCAGGCAGCTGGACACCATCACCTCGGGGAACAGCAACTGCTGGGGGACAGAGGCTCAGCAGAGACCCTTGGGGTGTCCAGGGCGCCCACGGGGGGGTCCCAGAGGGCGCCCACCTACCGCGTTGCTCTTGAAGAGCTCGTACTTGGCGAAGTTCTTGCGGAACACGAAGCGGCTGTCGGCACCTGGGGCCCAGGAGCCCTGCACCTCCACCACCGACTCGTGGTCCTCCAGGCAGCGCTCTGGCGGGGGGACAGGGGGTCAGCAGGGCAGTGGGGGGGGTCCCACGGGCTGTGCCCTGCTGTGCCCCCACCGCCTCTCACCCAGGGCCAGGTGCTGGTGCAGCTCCACCAGGGCCCAGCTGTGGTCGTGCAGCGCCCGCGTCCTGCGCACCAGGGTCTCGCAGAGCTGCCGCGCCGTGGTGGCCGCAGAGGCCTCCAGCGAGCGGCAGGCGCCGTCCTCGCCGAACACCTTCACCACCTGGGAGGTGGGACAGGGGCTGTCAGGGACCCCCCGGCACGAGGGGACCCTGCAGAGCCACAGGTGAGACCACCCACCCTGCCTCCTGCTCCTCAACACATGTGGGAGGTGGTTCCTGTCCCAGGGATGGGAATCCCCCCTTCCCAGACCCTTCACTCATTTGGGAGGTGGTTCCTGTCCCAGGGATGAGATTCCCCCCTTCCCAGACCCTTCACTCATTTGGGAGGTGGTTCCTGTCCCAGGGATGAGATTCCCCCCTTCCCAGACCCTTCACTCATTTGGGAGGTGGTTCCTGTCCCAGGGATGGGAGCCCTCCTCCCCAGAACCTTCACTCATTTGGGAGGTGGTTCCTTCCTCCCCAAGGATGAGATCCCCCCTTCCCAGAGCCTTCATTCATGCAGTAGGTGGTTCCTGTCCCAGGGATGGAATCTCCCCTTCCCAAAGTCTTGACTCATTTGGGAGGTGGTTCCTTCCCCAGGGATGGGATTCCCCCTCCCCAGACCCTTCAGTCATTTGGGAGGTGGTTCCTGTCCCAGGGATGGGATCCCCCCTTCCCACAGCCTTGACTCATGCAGGACATGGTTCCCTCCCCAGCCCCTCAGCCCCCTGCCTCAGGAGGGTGGGACCTCTGTAGAGGGGTCCCTCTTCAAAGGCTGAGACCCCTTCCCAGACCCTCACATGGGAGGGGGTTCCAGCCCCAGTGCTAAGACCCTCCCCTCTCCCCAGCCCCCTGACTCACCTGGGGCTGCCCTCGCCGGGGAGCTCCCTGCCCCACGAGCCCCCTCCCCAGCCCGTGCAGGGGTCCCAGACCTCAGCCCACCTTCCCAGCCCCTGACTCACGTGGGAGGTGCCCTCGCGGGGGGGTCCCTGTCCCAGGGCAGGGCTGCTCAGGATGGGGGAGTTGGAGGGGCTGCAGAGCTCGGGGAAGGGGTTGGGGATGCTGGGCAGCGACGACGCTCGTGGCTCCTCCTGCGGCGGCTGCCGGCTGCAGGCACGGGGAGGGGGGTGAGCTTTACATGCCCTGCGACCCCCCCTGAGCACCCCTTGCCTCCCCAACGCCCCCCGGCCTCACACCCACCTGCTGCCGTGGATGAAGAGGGGCTGGGAGCGCCTGAGCTCGGGCGGCCCCTCGCCCCCATCCCGCTCACCAGGACACCCCTCCTGCTCGGGGGGCTCCCAGAGGCTGCTCTGCTGAGCCCCCCCCTCCATGGCATTATCTGTGGAGGGAGAGAGAAAGGGGGTCTGCCACCGTGTGTTGGGGGGCCACGACCACATTTGGGGGCCATGGCCAGGTGTGGGCGGCCCCCACAGGACACCATGCCAGGCTCCAGGTGGGCTCCCACCCAGGGGTGTTTTCCTGGTGCCCAGACAAGCAGGACCCCAGCCCTGGGGGTCTAACTGAGCTGCCAAAGGTGTCCCTGTCCCCCCCCCAATCCTATCGGGGTGCTGGGGGCTGGAGCACAACACTGATGCTGAGACCCCCAGAATCCCCCACGTGCGACCCTCACCAGCAGCCCCACACCAGCGCTGAGGCTCTGGGAGATGCTGGGCTGAGCTTTGCCAGGCTGAGCTTTGCCGGGCCGAGCCGTGCCGGCGCCGAGGACAGAAGGAAGCCGAGCGTGGCGGCGGCGGCTCAGCCCAAACACCTCCTCGGGTCCGGCCAAACCGGTCCTGGCAGCCGCTCCCAGCTCCACCTCACCGCCCTGGCATCCGGGCCCGGGCGGCCGCGCCGGGAGCCGGGGGCGAGGGAGCCGCCGTGGGAACCGCCGCCAGCCCCCCGAGCTGGCACTGCCCCCCGTGTCCCCACCCACGCCCGGTGCCACCGGTGGCGCTGGGACAGCGGTACCGGGGGGAGCGGGGATGTGCCACGGCCCCCCCGGCACGTGGCACACGTAAGGCACACGTGGCACCCACGGTGGCGCTCGGTGGCCGCGGGCGCTGGTCCCGGGACACCGGGACACCGGGCAGAGCCGCGTTAATCATTGAGCTGCTGCCCGTCCCTGTCCCCACCTCTCGGGGTCCAAGTCCATGGCTGGGCAGGGCTGATGTCGTCCCCGTCCCTGTCCCTGTCCTGTCCCTGTCCCCATCTCTGCATCCCACCGGGACTGCTCCATCCCCGCTCCCTCATCTCCGGGGACTCGGGGACAGCCAGGGGTCAGGCAGGGTGATGCTGCTGGTGGGACACAGCAGGGGACACGGGGGGATGTGACAAACAGGGCCCTGGGAGCGGGACACCACCCTGGCACCACCCCCGTGGCCTCAGGTCACCCCGGTGTGAGCCCTGTCCTGGTGGCAGTGGCAGGGTGGGGACACTCAGGCTGTCCCGGGGACAAACAGGGGACACAGGGGCCATCAGGGTTGTGGGGTGGGGGACTGGAGGGGGTCAGGACCACCGGGATGGGCCCCAGGGCCAGCAGGTCTGTAGAGCAGGGGGTCCAGGGCCACCAGATTGAGGGTCCCAGGGTGACAGGGCTGAGGGACAGGATCCCAGGGCCAGCAGGGTGAGGGGATGGAATCCCAGGGACACCAGAGCTGAGGGACAGGATCCCAGAGCCACCAGGGTGAGGGGATTGGATTCCAGGGACACCAGGACTGAGGGACAGGATCCCAGGGCTTGCAGGGGTGAGGGGATGGAATCCCAGGGACACCAGGGCTGAGAAATGGAACCACAGGGACAGCAGGGTGAGGGGATGGGATTCCAGGGCTAGCAGGGTGAGGGGATTCCAGGGTCACCAGAGCTGAGGAATGGAAGCCCAGGGGCACCAGGGTGAGGGGACAGGATCTCAGAGCCACCAGGGTGAGGGGATGGGATTCCAGGGCCAGCAGGGCTGAGGAATGAAATCACAGGGTCACCAGGGTGAGGGGACAGGATCCCAGAGCCACCAGGGCTGAGGAATGGAATCCCAGAGCCAGCAGGGTGAGGGGGTGCACTCCCAGGGCCACCAGGGCTGAGGAACGGACCCCCAGGGAAATGGAACCACAGGGACAGCAGGGTGAGGGGATGGGATTCCAGGGCTAGCAGGGTGAGGGGATTCCAGGGTCACCAGAGCTGAGGAATGGAAGCCCAGAGCCAGCAGGGTGAGGGGGGACACACGGACAAGGGACAGCGTGCCGGGACCACCAGGATTAAGGAACAGGGTCCCAGCTGTGGGTGGGGGTCCCGGTGGGTGCCGAGACTGAGCTCCCCAGGGGCGCCGAGGCAGCAGAGGAGGCACGGCGGGATGGCAGAGGAGGAGGAAGAGCGGGAGGAAGGCGGGAAGGAGCGAAGGGAGGGGTGCGGGCGCAGCGAGAGCTCCGGGGTCCTTCCCGGCGGGATGGGAGCAACACCCCGCGATGAGCGGCGACCTCCCCCCGGCCCCAGGAGCCGCCAGCCCGGCCCCGCTCCTACCTGCAGCTCCTGCCGCGTCCCGGCACCGTCCCGCCGGACCAGGGATTCCTGTTCTCCCCGGCTTTATCTACCTGCGCCAGCTCCCGCCCCCGCCTGACATCACGGCGCCCCGGGCCTGCTGCCCGCCACCGGCCCCCCACCGACACCCTGAGGGGCCCCCCAGCCCCCCCCGACCCCTGGGGGGGTGTCCAGCCCCACCTCGGTCCAACCCCCCCACCCCAAACCCACCGGCCGCGACCCCCCTGAAGTGGTGATGGGGAGTTTCCCACAATGCACTGGGGTGACCCCTGGAGCAGCCGGGCGTGGGGGGACACGGGGACACCGCGGTGCCCTGGGGGTGCAGATCCCACTGAGCCCCAACCCTGGGACGGCCCCGGGTGTGGGGGTTGGGGCTCCCCTGGGACCCCCAAAATTCGGCTGGAAGGGTCCCATGGCGGGTGGGGGGTGTCCCCATTGTCCCCTCAGGGACCCCTGCCAGGTGGGACCATGGGGTTAGGGGGGTCTCATGCAGGTGAGGGGCACTTCCAGGAGGGTTGGGGGTGGAATTTGGGATATGGGAATGCAGAGGGATGAAGAGTCCCTTTGGGTCTCTGTGTGTGTCCTGTGGGGTCCCTTGGGGGTGTCCCCTGTGGGTGTCTGGGAGTCTCCACTGGGGACAATGGGTGCCGTGGGGTCACGGAGTCCCTAGAAATGTCCCCAAGGAGGGGTTCAGGGGTCCCTGTGGGGGATGCTGAGGGTTCCTGGTGGTCTGTGGGGGGGTTCGAGGCCGTTCAGAACCCCCACAGGGGTTTAGGTGTGGGTCCCACAGAGCAGTGGGGGTTCTTATGAGAATACAGAGCTTCTGTGAGGGGCATTTTCAGTGTCCCCCGGAGGTCATTTTGGGTCCCATGGGTGACACGGGGGTCACTGAGGTCATTGTGTGTCTCATGGGGGGTTTGCGGGTCTCAGGGGTCACTGCAGGTGACACACGGTGAGTTTCGGTCCCCAGAGGGAGTCACTTTAGGTCACTAGAGGTGTCCTGAAAGTCACTCTGGGTCACTCAGGGTGATTTTGGGTGTCCCGGGGGTCACCGGGGTCACGGCGGGCCTCCCGGAGGTCTCGGAGCAGACGAGACGAGCAGCGCGGCGGTGCAGAGCGGCCGGAAGTGGGAGCCTCACGTGACCGCACCCGGAAGCGGCGGCGCGGCGGCACCGGGGGCCATGAGCAGCGGGACCGGGAACGAGACCGGGGACGGGAACGGGGCTGGGGCCGAGCGGCGGGTCCGCATCGTGGTGGAGTATTGGTGAGCGCCGCGGCCGGCCCGGGGGCGGATGAACCGTGGGGAACCCGGGGCCTTCGGGGGTGGGAACCGCCCGGGGTGACGGCCCACAGCGGTACCGGGGCACCGGGAGCACAAACTGGGGGAACTGGGGTGAGGCATGGGGCGGGTTCAGGCGCCGAGGGGGCTGGGGGGGTCAAGGGAGAGGCTGAGGGGGACATAGAGGGGTTGGAGGGGTTGGAGGTGGGATTTTTATGTTGATTTTAGGGTGATTTTTGGGATTTTTATGTTGATTTTGGGGTGATATTTGGGTGATTTTATGGTGATTTTTGGAATTTTTACATTGATTTTTGGGTGATTTTTGGGATTTTTTAGTTGATTTTAGGGTTGGAGATGATTTGGGGGCTCTGCAGGGTGAGGGAATTGGGGCGCTGAGGGGGTTGTAGGGAATTCGGGGGCTGAGGAAGGGGTTAGAGAGGATTTGGGGGGCTCTGAGGGGTGGGGGGCTGAGGAGAGGAGTGTAGGGAGGTTGAGAGTCTCTGCAGAGTGAGGGAATTGTGGGGTTATAGGAAAATTGGGGGGCTGAGGAAGGAGTTAGAGAGGATTTGGGGGGCTCTTAGGGGTTGGGGAGCTGAGGAGAGGAGTGTAGGGAGGTTGAGAGTCTCTGCAGAGTGAGGTTATACAGGATTTGGGGGGGCCGAGGAGGTGTTGAGGGGTTCTGGGATACAGGGGTCTGGGGATTTTGGGGGTCTGGGGGTTTTGGGAGGGCTCCTGAGGGGGGCTTTGGGAACTGAGGGTGCAGGAGGCAGCAGAGCTGTTGTGGGGGGACAGCTTGGGGGGGGTTCCTTATTTCGGGGAGGGTTTGGGGGGTCCCCGTGCCCCCTCCTCAGGCTGTTCCCCCCTCCCCAGCGAGCCCTGCGGCTTCGAGGCCACGTACCAGGAGCTGGCGAGCGCCGTGCGCGACGAGTACCCCGACATCGAGATCGAGTCACGCCTGGGGGGCACTGGTGAGACCCCCCAGAAGCTCGGGGGGGGCACCCCAGCCCCCCCCAGTGCCCTGCTGGGGGTTTGGCCTGGGTTAAACCCAGCAAGGGGGGGGTCGTGGCCTGGTTGCTGCCCCAGAGCTGGGGGTCTGCAGAGCCCCCGGTGCTGCCGCGGAGGGGGGCACGGGCTGGGGATGCCACCAGGGGGTTTTGGGGGGACACACTGAGCCTTGTGTGTGCCCTCAGGTGCCTTTGAGATTGAAATCAACGGGCAGCTGGTCTTCTCCAAGCTGGAGAACGGGGGCTTTCCCTACGAGAAGGACGTGAGTACCCACCGGGGGTCCCGGGCTCTGCCAGGGTGGGCTGGGGGCCCCTCCTGTGATGTTTTGTCACCCTCTGGAGCTGTTCCCCCTCCTGCCACCCTGCCAGGACCCCCTGCAGGTCCTGCTGGGATGGAGTGGGAGGGGACAGAGGGGGCGTGGCCGGCATTTGTCCCTGTCACCTCCTTGTCTCCCCAGCTGATCGAGGCCATCCGCAGAGCCCGCAATGGGGAGCCCCTGGAGAAAATCACCAACAGCCGCCCCCCCTGCGTCATCCTGTAGCCCCCCAGGGACAGCAGGGTCCCCCCACGCTGCCCATGGCTGCTTTCCTTAAATCCCTGCACCACTGGGGGGGCTCAGGAGCCTCCTGGGGACCCCCACAGGTGGCACTGGGGGATCATTCTGTCCCCTGCCCGACCTGCTGTGGGGTGGAGCTGTGGGTTGGGGGGGGGTCTCCCACCTTCCCCCCTCATCAGCTGCACCTCCCTGAGGGGCACAGGGTTGGCACCCCCATTTCTCTGTGCTGGCCTCTCCCCTCCCTGACCCCCCAGGAATCTGGGGGGTCTCCCATGAATGGGGGGCCAGCGTTGGAGCAGCTCCCAGCAGGTTAATTCCAAGGGGGATCCACTGGCTGTAACTTGCCTGGGATCTGTTAATGATTAAAGTCCCTCTGGCACTGTTTAATCCGGGGCAGGGGCTGGCCATGGGAACCCCAGCCTGGCCCCACAGCCACAGGTGTGTTCACATCCCCCCTCCCCATTCCCAGGCTCCTGCTTCCTGCCTGGAATGTCCCTGCCCTTGGCCTCGGGGCGGGGGGGGTCCCCTATTTATTCTATACTGTGTATAAACCCAACGGCCTGGGTGGAATAAAGGATGGAGAATGTGGCTCCTCTGGTGTCCCTTGGGAATGGGGGGTGGGACACGGTCCTGGAGCCTGCCTGGGATCAGGAATTTTATCCTTCAGGCAAGTGGTGGAGGGGTGGCAGAGGGGAGAGGAAGGGAAGGGGAAAAAAGGAGGAGTGGGAGAAGGAAAAGGGGAAAAGGAAGGGAAGGGGGAAGAAGAAGTGGAAAAGGGAATGGAGAAAGGGAAAAGAGGATAGAAAAAAGAATGGAAAGGAGGGAAAAGGGGAAAGGAAATAGGGGAGGAAAAAGGGGAAAAAAAGAAGGGGAAAGAAAAAAGAAAAAAGGAGGGAAAAGGGGGAAGAAAAAAGGGGAAAAAGAGAAGGAAAAGGGAAAAAGAGAAGGGAAAGGGGGAAGGGATATGACATGTTGGTCCTTGGGAGACAGAGCTGGATCCGACAGAGAAGGAGAAACCAAACAGACCACGAGAGTAGAAAAAACAAGCAATGTACAATTATCAAATATACATCCCGGTGCTCCCAGAGAATCCCGAGCAGCCGGGACTGCTCTCAGTCCAGCTGCCCTCAGTGCAAGTCCACGTGTCCCAGGCACTGGGACAGCCCTGGGGTGGGGGGATGGCAGAGGGGCTGTCCTCCTCCAGGCCGTGCTGGTTCCGAGCTCCCTGGGCTGCTGCAGCTTGTGGGTCCCCAGTGCCACCGAGGGTGACCCCTCTGTCCCCACTCTTCGCTGCCGCGCTGTCCCACAGCGTCCTGGGCTCTCCCAGCCCTCCGTGAGCGGTGCCACCCCCGGGCAGAGGGGTGGACCCCCAGCCCCACGGCCGTGGCTCGTCCCTCCCTGAGCTGCCTTGGTGAAGTTGGGGGGGGTCTCTCTTACACGGCCGTGGCGTCGGGGCCGGCCAGGCCGAGGTACTCGGGGTTCTCGGCCGTGGGCGTCGTGCCAGGGCCACCCTCGGGGCCACCACCCTTGGCAGGGTCCTGGTTCCAGTAGTAGGGGTTGTCGAAGGCCTGGCTGAAGGGGCCAGGGGTGGGGGTGCCGTGGGGTGCCAGGTACTCGGGGTTCTCCACAGCATGGCCGAAGGGCCCTGGGAAGGAGTTCTTGGGGTCCTTGATGAGCCCGTTCTTCCCCTGGTGCCCCTTGGGCTTGTCCGGCGGGGAGGGGGGGGCACGGGGCGGGCGTTCCCCAGCCTGGTTCACGTACTCTGCAGGGTGAGTGACATGTTAGGGACAGCCCAGGGGTCATGGGACAGGCAGGTGCCCCCCACCACCTCCCCAAGGGTCTGGCCATGCCCTCCCTACCTGGCATGGTGCTGTGGGGGGCTGGGATGGTGAAGCACTCAGGGTCCTCTCCGTCCTTGGCCGTCAGCCCCGTGGGATCCTCGCTGTACCGGGGCAGGGTCCCAGGCTCCCGCCCCGGGGGGCTCTGCAGGGCCACCTTGTCCCCATCTGGCACCTCTGGGACAGGGCCCTCTGGCCCCTCTGCCAGGCCTTGGGCAGGGAAGGAGAACGAGGCCAAACCCTCTCCCTCTTCCACCTTGGCTGGAGACTCCGCTGTGCTCTGGGTGTGGGAGAGGACACAGAGTCGGGCAACTTGAGCCCACCCCGAGGACCATCCCAGATGTGGCACGGGGTCACCCCCGTGCCCGTGCCAGCACTGGGAGCTCCCTCCCAGCCCTCCCCACGTACCCGCATGGAGGAGATGCGGCTGCGGTAGGTGGTGGAGGTGTCGGTGCTGAAGAAGCCGTGGTGAGGCACCAGGTACTCCTCAGCGTCCACCAGGTCGTCCATGTCCTCCTCATCCAGCAGTGCCCGGTAGAAGGTGCTGTCCATGGAGCCAGGCAGCCCCACCAGGTCGTTCTGGGGGGGGGTCACACTGGTCAGTGCCCACCAGGGCACCAGCGAGGGGACGGGACCCTGGGGACCTGCATACCTGGATGACCACGAAGCGCTGGGGGTCGCGGGCCATGCGGGAGAACTCGGTGACCAGCTCCCGGAACTTGGGCCGGCACTCGGA